CAACCATAATTCCCAGCAAGGGATGAGCACTGACCGTGCCTTTCGACGCATCCATTTGCGCTCCTCTTTTCTTCCCTGGGCTTACAACATTGCTCTCCCCTCCTCCCTTCCATCCTCACCACCCCTGCCCTGGGAGGTCGGCCAGGCTGAGGGTTTGTCCGGGGCCCCAGAGGTGCCCCCCCGCCCCCCGGTGAGCCTGCGTGGCAGAAGTGGGGATTGAACCCAGGAGGGCCCCCCCCAAGGTCCCTCTCGCCCACCACTCAATTCGCTACACCCACTGGACCAAACAAGCATGGACTGCTGTGAAACCAAACAAGCTCTGGGTTCAAGTCTCCCTCCTCAGCCACGAAGCTCCTCGGGCACCCTCATCCCACCAGCCAGACAATAAAAAGGCCGCCTCGACAGAGGATAGAAACAAGCAAGCAATACCTTCTTGGCATATCCACGCATGAGACAGTTGTACATCTGTATGTCCAGCAGTTTCCTCCTGGAGTGGGACCGGTGGTAGAACATTAGGCACTGCTGAGCTCTCTCCGTCTGGCCGAGAAAGAGGCAGCAGTCCAGGTAGGCCAAGATGCTGAGTCGGATGTTTACATGCCGTCTTTCTTCTTCCTCTTCCAGGGGCAGCCTCTCCCCAGCATCCTCCCAGATCCGAGCCTGCTCCTCCGGCCCTTCAGAGGTACCACGACTGCCCTCTAAAGGACCCGCACTGGGGACGTTACGGCGACTTTTGGTTTCCTTGGGGGCTTGACACTTTCCCGGACTGTTGGGCCTTCCGCCCGTGGGCCTTTTCGGGGGGCTCTCCTCCCCTTGGGCAGCTTTGTCCCTTTTAGTCGGTTTTGTCCTGGGACTGGCAGCCAACAGCTTGGCCTCGAGTCTCAAGAGCCGCTTGTGTTTGATGGATTTCTCTTTGTTCAGCTTCTCCATCCAGCGGCTGGGGTGGGAAGTGCCCCTGTCCTCGTGCTTTGGAGCGGGCGCTTTCTGAATCGGGGCAGCCCCTTTCCACGGGGCAGCCTTAGAAAAGCCGCTCTTCCTTGACGGGGCCTCCTGAGCCTCGGGGGCCACCACCTCGCAGACATTGTCAGCCTGCAGCTGTTTCACTCTGGCCTCCAGCACTGCAGGGGGGAGGAGGAGACACATTAACAGGGAGGATTAGAAGAAAGGCTGTGACAGGATGGGAAGTGAACGGCAGTCCTGGGCGCTAAAGCTTTAGTGAAGCTACCACCTGAGGGATTCTGACTGAAGTCTGAATCCTCCCTAAGCCCAGTGCCACAGCACTGAAGAGCCCTGGACAGTCTCCTCCTTGGGAGCACAGAATGGCTGCCCCCCATGCTCATGGCGAACCCGGTGGCAAATCATTTACAGATGACCTGGGCTCGGTACCTCTTGCACACAGAAGAGTGCCCCCCTCACCACGGTCTAGTCAAAGTCAACCATCAACGTACGTTTTTCACACGTGAAGGGGTGGTGCATCTGCCCCCAGAGGTGGGCACGCCGGCCCAGGGACCCCTACCACAAGAACCTCCCTACAAGGAGTGGGCAAGATCTACCAACAGATGTAAACCATTCAACACCTTTCCCCCACCCCCAAGGGCTGGGAAACAGAGGAGAACTTTTCCAAAAGTGCTTGCAAGCCATTTTGGAACGTCCGTTGTTAACCAAGTGCCCAGGATGGTACCAGATGCAGAATTCAGGTACGTGAGACTCTCAGCTTCTCTCTGGCTGTGATCACACAAATTAAATAATCCACTTTCAATGCACTTTTCAACTGGATTTTTACTGTGTGAACCGGCAGAATCCAATTCAAAAGTGGATTGAAAGTGGATTATTTAGTGTGTGTGATTGCAGCCTCTATTTGTTTAAGCACAAGTTTCTGGCTGTTAAGACTGTGGGTAGAAGCGGAACTGGTGACCAAGCAGCAGTTCTGCTCAGGAAACCACACAGGTCCCAGACTACTAAAAATGTAGGAAACCCTGAATCAGTTGTTTAGAATAAAAGAATAAGCCACACAAAAGAAGGGAAACTGTGCCAACTTGTACAATTTTGTGGTGTAGTGGGGTGAGGAGTGCCAGACTAGTATCTGGGAGACCCAGATTCAAATCTCCACTCTACCACAGAAGCTTGCTGGGTGACCTTGGGCCAGTCACACTCTCTCAGCCTAACCTACCTCACAGGGTTGTCGTGAGGACAAAATGGAGGAGAGGGGAACGACGTGAGCCGTTCCAGGTCCCCACTGGGGTACGTGTGAAACAAACAAATAACTAAATATGAACAGTCCAGTGATTTTGGCACAGAACTTGAAAGACTTCTAGCGCAGGATCTTCACAGCCCAGGCTTGCTATTCTTGAGCACGTACCACGCGCAGCCCCCGATACTTTCATTCGTGCAAAAAACCCTTTTCCCTGTGACTCACCCTCCAAAAGTTCAGCCTTCTCACAGGCCCATCTGCTCCTGGCTTCTTCCTTCGCCCTGGCTGAGGAATGACTCCGCACCACAATCCACAGGCTTTCTGCAATGCAACAGGGACCAAAAGCAACAGGTGAGAAGCCGGCTCCAGACAAGGGGCAAAGCTCCCACTCCCTCAAAGAAGAAGAAGAGATTGGATTTATAACTCGCTTTTCACTACGTGAAGGAGTCTCAGAGCGGCTTACAATCTCCTTCACTTCTTCTCCCCACAACAGACACCCTGTGAGGTAGGTGGGGCTGAGAGAGCTCTGAGAGAACTGCCCTTGAGAGAACAGCTCTGGGAGAACTTGTGACTGACCCAAGGTCACACCAGCAGCCACATGTGGACGAGTGGGGAATCAAACCTGGTTCTCCCAGATTAGAGTCCGTACTATTAACCACTACACCAAATCACTTTTGATGCCCCTCCCCCCCCCCCGGGGGGGGGGAGAAGAGCTTGGAAGGGAGCACTGGCCCCTCACTTTCAGGGAACAAATGCTCGCTTTTGGTGAGTGAAAAGGGCTGCCAGGTGACCAGACACGGATGCCTTTACAAAATGGATTGCCCCCTCCTTTTCAGCTGCAAATGGCTAATAACATTTTGTTAGCCTGCAAAGATTACAGCTATTTGCAATTTCAAGCTGTGGGTAGAAAAGAGCAAGAGTCCAGAAGCACCTTAAAGATTAACACAATTTGTGGCAGGGTACGAGCTGAAGTGGGCAGTGACTCACGAAAGCTCCTCTCCGGCCACAAATGTTGTTAGTCTTGAAGGAGCTCCTGGACTCTTGCTCTTTTCTCCACCCACCTGGATCTATTAAGCTGGGAGAAAACTTTCCACACTGATGGCCAGCTTCTTCCCAACGCATCTCACAGGGTTCAGACCCCCCCCCAACACACACACACACATCCAAGCTATCTACCTACTGTTCAAATAGAGCTCAGGCAGACATCCCTGCTTTGCCTCCACAACGGCTCTAAGAGGTAGGCCAGGCTGGGGGGCGGGGATTTGAGAACCCAGGTCTCTGGGCTGAGTCTTTAGCCATTACAGCACTGATTCTCCACAGTGGGGGGGGGGGTCTTCATGCTCCCAGCTGAGCTTGGTCATTCCAGTTGTGCTAAGGGGGGGAATGCTCCCTCTAAGCTGTGGAGTCTTGTAAGCAAAAATTGTACTTTGTGAGCTTCTGGCATTAAAGTTGTGAGCACGCGATTTGGCCACTGCATAAATTAGTTTGCTCTGGAGCCATCCTTCCTGAGTCGAGATAGAAATGGATGAGCCGGAGGCTAAAAAACTGAGCTAGCTCACACTAACTCAGCTTAGAGGGAACACTGAAGGGGGGTTCAGCCACCCAATTTTTGGGGGCAGGGTGTCTGGCCCGGTGGTGGGAGTGATGCAGAATTCAGGGGGGTCTTGCAAAGACAAGGACTTCCAAGGAGCTTAGAGGACGGGGCAGAGGAGGAACTCCGCTTTGTTACAGATTCCGGGGGGCAGCCGTGTTGGACGGAAGCAACAGAACAAAGTTCGAGTCCAGCCAGGCCCCTTGAAGGCCAACAACGTTTAATTCACGGCATAAGCTTTCGTGGTGGGCACGCACACTTCGTCAGATGCATGCACACAAAAGCCTCTACCCAGAATCAAACTTTGCTGGCCTTAAAGGTCCGCAACTTGACTCAAACCTCGTGCGCAGCTCTATTATTCGAAAATGTGACATTATGTGACATGCAACCCACTCTCGCGTTAAGAGGGAAAGATTAGGGTTGCCATCTCCAGACTGGGAAATTCCGGTAGACGTGGGAGTGAAACGGCCTCAGCAGGTTGGAAGGCCACAGAGCCCATCACCCAAAGGGGCCGTTTTCTCCAGGGGAGCGGATCTCTGTCGCCTGGAGACCAGCTGCAATTCCGGGAGATCTCCAGGCTCCACCTGGGGGTCGGCAACCCCGGGAAAGCCGCAGCCCTCTCCCACGGAAGACACCCCCCCCCCCGGCTCGCG